TCAGGCCGTAAATTTGTGCCATCACAGACATTTAGTGGATTCTAGTAGAGTAGACTGGACTTACATGAAGGTTCAGTGTCCTCTCTTTTGTTAACTGTATCTTAAGTTTGTGAAACCATCTTTTTGTTTTGTTTTTTAGGCCCCTTTCCTAGATGTTCTAAATACAATGTTGGACACTGATCTCCCACTGACAATTGAAGAACAGGAAGAATGGGGAAATCCATTAGCAGATGAAAAGTACATGGAATATATTAAAAGTTATTGCCCTTATCATAATATTAAGCCACAGGTACTAAGGAGTAATTAAACCATTCTGCTTTTTCTTAATACAATGTATAGTACCACACAGACTAAACAAATAAAACATTTGATCATGAAAATGCAGAATTGCAGATTCATTCTTTAGGGCCTTAGGAACTTGAGATTGTGAACTATGTGTTCTTAAAAGATAAATCCTGATTGAATATGAAGAAGCCATCTTTGGCTAGTTAGTTCAGGAATAATCTATATTGCTTTGTAGTGTACAAAATCATAAATGGCTACTGAAATTGATTGAACACCTCCCCTTAGACAATTAATCAATCTCAAAAGTTTTATTGCTGGCATACTATAAAGTATTAGATTATTCCTATTATACAACACACCACAGCATGAAAAATATTGTTTCTTCCCTTGTGAGGATTTTTTAATAGTTTTGCTGCCAGACTAGGGAATTGTCACTGTGGAAGAGGAGTAGTGTCACTAGACACATGGTGCAAGTAAATGTTTCGATGTCATTTCTGAATGGCTAATTCATTTTCTCTGAACTGTGACTGGTTATTAATGCTGTACAACTTCCCTAATGATAGTCTTCTGTGTATGTGAACTCTTACTACATCTAATTGATGCAAAATTACTAATTTGACTTTTTATCTGTAAATTAAGACCACAGCGAGAAATAAATGTAATTGTAAGTAAAATTCCTTATTTGTAAGCTGATAAGTGACTGGAGCTCCTTTTGCATCACTCCTACATGAGTGAGGCAGTCCCCAGGAAGTGTGGAGTTGCTCCAGTAACTCTCAGAAGAGGGGTTTTGTTAGGAGGGGAGAGGCATGGTCAGAGTATTCTGCGCTTCGGTTATCACTTCATGGCAGATGGTCCCTTGAGGATAAATCTGGCCGTTTTCAGACCAAACCAATTTTCAAGTTAAAATTATAGGGATGCTAATGTAGGGCTTTATAAAAAGAAGCAGGCTGCAATGCTAAATATAGAAGATATCTTTTCTCCATCATTGTCAAATGTAGCAAGCCTTCAAGTACTGTAATAGTATAGGGATTCAAAGTGGAATTCTTCAGGTTGTTCACATTTTAGGAAGTGAAAATGTTAATAACTTTTTCCCCCCATCTCTCTTTTAGGCTTATCCTTCAATTTTAATCACAGCATATGAAAATGATCAACGAATACCACTGATAGGATTATTAAGATATGTGCATAAACTTAGAAAAGCAGAAAGGGATCATGCTAGAAGCATGAATAAGAAAGGTAATGTGGAAGTGTCTTTTATATACGTTGTTAAATAAGCACACACAAAAGTCACATAACTAATTATCCATCAATCATATGATATGTAAGAGTGGAAGGGACCTCGATAGGTCATCTAGTTCAGTCCACTGCACTGAGGCAGCTCCTAGACCAGCCCTGACAGGTGTTTGTCTAACCTGTTCTTAAAAACCTCTAATGACAGGGATTCCACTCCCTAGAGGCAAACATCCATTATATATGCCATTTTTATTTGAGAGAGTTTGGTTCAGAATTTTGTTCACTTTACAGTATGTTTCTTAAAAGAAATTCTGAAAATGTTAGATAATTTGTTCCACTGTGCATGTGTGTACTATATAAAGCACAATATCGAAAGGTTGGAAGCAATTCAGGGTACCTATAACCTTGAGAAATTAGTCTACCCATATTTATTGTATGGGTTAAGCTGCCTACTTGTAATGATATGGGTAGGGCTAAAGCTTTTAGTACTCACTCTCCAGAATCTTAAAAGGCACTCATCAATTTTGGGATCCAAAATTTGCCTTAAAATAGTCAAGCTAATGGGTGCTAAATAATTCTTTTTAAAAAAATAAATTAATAATCCACTTAATCTATCTTTCCCTTGCTGTGAATTTTAAAGCCCTTTATTATTCAGAGCCTGCACAAACCTACTATTTCCCTGTTCATTCTGAAGTTGTAGACATGCTATTCCCGGAGATACTATGACATGACTGTTAAAGCATGGAAGTTGTATATTGCTGATAGAAGTTATCACCAGCCAAGAACTTTCTTTCAGTAACAGATGCTAAAATTATGTTTTAGTACAACAGACTCCAACTAATCTGTACTAATGAGGGGAAGAGGCCCTCTTTCACAGTTTTAGCTCTTGAATTAGCTGTTCCCGTCAGCTGGGAGCCTAGCTGCAGGGAATAAGTAAAGATGGCAGCTGCTGCTGCCTTGCTCATGAAGAGAAAATCCATCCTTCTGAAAAGAATTGAGAGACAATTGTCTATATATACTTCCTGAAATATGTAATCATCAGGAACCATTTAATGCAAATAGTTCATCCACCAACCTATTACGTGTGGTTTAATGTCATACAATTGTTCCCCCTCCCCCCCAATTTTCTTGCTTGTAGAACTACACAAGTATCTTGTCCAGGATAGTGGTAATATCATCCCTCTCCACATAACACACACAGCTCCACCTTTCCTTGTTCATTCAACAGTGACGGACATTAAACATTTTTGTTTCAGGAAACCTGATACCTAATATCATCTTAAATGTTCAGGCAGGAGGCAGTCATTGTGCTCCATTGTGGGAGGATTCATTAAATGAGGTATGATTCCTCTATTGTACATTTTTATAGTTAGGACAAAAACAAATCTATAATGAAGTGTATACTAACACTATGATGTCATCATTTTGTGTATTATTTAATACACATTGGTGCTAACAAACAAGAACCACTGGTTGAGTTGGATGGGCCTGGGAGTTAGAATTCTCAGCTGCTGTTCCTGGCTCCCTGTGTGTGTGACCATAGACAAGTCACTTAACCTCATTGTGCCTCAGCTTACCCATCTTTTAAATGGGGTACTTAACTACGGAACTGCTCACCAGTGTTCTGAGCTTTAATTGTTTGTAAAGTGCTTTGATACCTTTGGATGAACAGCTCTAAATAGTGCAAAGTATTGGTACAGTAATAGCGAAAGCTTTACACCATCCAATTGTAAAGGCTCAAAATGTTCTGATTAAACTGCCTTTCATTTGCTCTCATCAGCCTTCTTGGTTGAGAAAATCACCAATGTGTTTCTGCAGCTTTAAATTGTGTAAGTTTGGTTTATACTGTGGGGGGCAATTTGTCTTTTAGAAATTCCAGATTTTAAGTGGATTTTTTTTTAAACTCCTAAGCATTCTACAAATAGCATTATAGTTTAAGCAAATCAACTCTGAAAGCACCTGGTGACACCTCCTTCACCGTTACTGCTGTCCCATGCCCAATAACATTTTCTTACTGGGAAGCTTTTCAGATCCCAGTGGCTGCTTTTTTCTAAAGAAAATTGATCTGGAAAGTCTCTGTTTACATCTCAGATTGCTGCAAGGCGGTATTTAGTGGCACCAGTGGCTATCAGGGTGAATAATGTAAGAATGGGCCAGAAAAAGGGTGGGAAGGTTTGACAGAAATCCAAAGATTTTTTTAGAATGAGTCCTCTGACTTTTTTTTTTAACTAAATTTTCATTGTTTTAGGTTACAAGCCACCTTGCTTTTCTGTACAAAGAATTTGGACTTGAGAGAGAATAACTTGAAGAAGTGGTTTATTTAACATGCACAGTTATTTCAGAATTTGTTGAAAGATTTAAAAACTGTATATATACACATTAGACTTCTGAAAAAGCCATATCACATACCTGTAAATTTAAAAAATGAGCACTCATTCTCCAAAGGAACCAGCTGTAATAGATCCCAGATATGGGTCCCTGCTTCCGGTGCATAACCAGACCAGGAGCTCATAAAGGCAGAGTTGTGTGAGCTACTGGCTTACATATACATACCAGGTGGTAAATTCCTTCCCTGCTGCATTGGAGGAGCAGCGTCTCCAGCCTCTAGCTACCAGTTCCTTGTGCAAACAAAAAAGATGAATGAATACAAACATGCATCCCAAATCTACAGAGGAGGGTGGATCCCTTACAAATTCGATCTTCATAGAAGAATTATGACTAAGGCTAAGATTTTTATCACGGTTATTTTTAGTAAAAGTCACCGACAGATCACGGGCAATAAACAAAAATTCACGGAGCCCATGACCTGTCCATGACTTTTACTACAAATAACTGGGGGGGGGGGGGGGGGAACGACTTACAGGCCAAGCCCCCTGCCATGGCGGGGGTCACAGCCCCCCGCTCCAGAGCTGGCCACAGCTGTGGGGCAGGGGAGCATGGCCCCAGCTGCATCCCCTGCCAAAACCCTGGCAGCAGCTGGGGAGGTGGATGCAGCCCCTGGCAAAAGCCATGGGGCTTGGGTGCATGGCCCCAACCCCTGCCAACCCTGGGGCTGTAGGATCCTGGTTCCAGCCAGCTCCAGTTGCAGGGCAGGGGCGCACAGTCCTTCCTCCCCATCGTGAAGCCCTAGAAGTCCCAGAGGTCCAGTAAAGTCACAGAATCCATGACTGCCATGACCTCGGTGACTAAATTGTAGCTTTAATTATGACATGTTCAGTAAGTAAATTTCTCTTCCAGCTGGTACTAAACACTTGTTTGTTACTTATTTGCCTTGATCAGCTCTCAATTTTCTCTTTCCTCTAAATGAGTTGTTTTAAAACTGACCTGATGACTTATTTGCTTCTAACTATTTCAGACAATTCAGTGCCCATTACACAAATAGGAAACTTGCAAAACAAGTACTATGGAGTGTAAACGGCCACAGGATTTGTGGCTGAGTTGTGGCAGTCAGATACAGCCCACAATAGGGGTACACAGTGCACAGGTACAACACTCAAGCAGGAAATCTTAAGAGCTTTATACCTTAGGCACAATGCCTCTAGGAGCCCTATAGGCATATGGCTAGTGTTCTACCCTTGCACAAATACTTATCTGGAATGGACCAGCCCCAGGGATGGCTTTACAGGGGAGGATCCTTACCTTTCCTTGTGCCTGTTCACAATCCCTCTGGAAACTCTAGCCTCCATGGTTGTTGGTTAGTTGGTTGCCCTTAAGCTAAGCACCTTCTGCCCTCCACTCACCACCATTGCTCACACACCAATAAAAGAGGCCAGACAATTAAGCCATATTAGTTTGTTTATGGGCTGCTGTTCATTTAATACACAAACCAGCAAGTTTAAAAAGCCATTGCCAACTATTCACAGTATTTACCTGAAATCAACCTTTCCTGCCTTAAATGCATAAAACAAAATTTCCTACATGCCCTAGCGCTTAGCAATGCATGTAGAGTATATTCAAGGCACTAGAATAACATGCTTTTTCAGCCACAAAACACTTCCCTTGGAAAGTTTCCATAGTATGAACTGTCTTCCTTGTTTTATACTCAAGGACAATTCCTTCCCCCTTTTCAGTTTTAATTGTTTTGGTATTTACAACTTTACCAGTGTTGCTAAAATTAGTGCTTAGCCTTATGGTAGCTTCAGACGGAAGCTCAGAAACTACAGCTTTCAGGTCTGTGATTGATTCCTGTCCAAAATTGAGAACCATTATAAAGACTGTGTCTAATCCATCTAATTCCCTCAGATACACAAAAACATTGCTGTCATTCCAAATGTAGCACATCCATCCCCTCTGAATGGGCAGCTCATTGTTGCGAAGTAAATTTAGCTCTCGATATAGATTCAGTGTTGAGTTAGGTTGAGTCTTTTGAACCTGTTTTAAAAAAAAAAAAAAAAACATCATTACCGTAGTCATTTATTCCTCGTTAAATGTTGGAAATGTTACTTTGAAGTACAGAAGTGATTACCACATCTGCTAAGATTATCTTCCCAGCTTTCGGACTCTCAGCCCCCGCTGCAAATCCTTCCACAGATTCAAGTTGAAGCTATTTGTCCTCAACCTCTGGGGACCTTCACAACTCTGCCTCTTCATATACTTATCTGCCCTATCTCTCCCCATATTGTCCACATTTGCCACTCCACCCATGATGATAGCCATGTCTCCTTCTCCTACAACTGTCTTTGCTCCTTCCATTGCGCTTCATACACTTTTTGTCAGCAAAGCATTCCATACCAAGGAATCGGAGCATTCAGCATCAAGGACTTGATTTTGCTCCCACTGACTTCAGTGCTGCAGAAGCAACCCCCAATGGATTAGTTTCAAGTGTTTTTTCTTTGCTGTTGTTTACTGTTGTAGATCAACAATACCAGTACTTGACCTACTTGGTTTAACAGCAACTGCCAAGTTTGGTCTTAGACAGAACAACATATGCAAACCTAGAAATGCATCCATCTTATTTTCCTGCTAAGTTTAACAAAGCCTACTTGTATTAATCTAAATTAAAATGGGGGTGAGTAGATTTCAGATTAATGATGAAAGATTAAATGAATTAGACTAAAAAAAAAAATCACTTCAATATCACCATATTTTTCTGGTTAAATGAGGGCTAGTAAAATAGCCTTTGCTGTTGCAATGAGATTTTTTACCATTTTTCTTCGACAGATTTGTTTTTTCTTGGTTTTAGTTTTAACTTAGTTAAACTGCCCCCATTCCACTAATCAAAACAAATTAGAGCTTCATTTAGCTGAAGCTATTTTGCTAGCATTTTTTTGTAACCCATATGACTGTGTCCTTAATTTAAATACTTACTTCGACATTTACATTTTGGTAGTCCAGATTAACAGGTAACCAGCTTAAATTACCCTCACTGAAGCCGGCATGAAGATTGCCATTCCACTGCATGGGTGACTTCTCTGGAAAGGTCACCTAAAAATAAGAGAGTATTGGGCACCATTCAAAAACATCCTCGTTAATGTGCTAAAGAATGATCCAGTTAACAATCTTTTGCTCAAGCTTCTCTCTCATGTCAAGATTATTTCATCTCATAGGGGACTTTAATTAGGTCCTAGACCTAAAGCTTTACAGGAAGTAATTAAAAATCCCACAAGTGTAGGGGGATCATGAAGAGAGAGAATCAAAAGCTATCACTAAAAGGGGGAGGAAAAACTGTGTAATGGATTTGGCACTGGACTGAGTGCTGCAGACCTGTGTTCAATTCCCAGCTCAGACGCAGATTTTCTGTGTGACTTCTGGGAAGTTACTTAATCTACTCTGTGCTTCAGTTCCCCATCTGTAAAATTGGGATAATACTTGCCTACCCTGCCCAGAAGTGGTGTGAGGATAAAAAGCTATTAATAATTATTAGGTGGTCAGATTTTACAGTAATGAGGACCATGTAAATTCTTTGACAGAAATGCAGTTAGTGGATGTATGAGGTGATCTGTAACCTGGAAAGAGATACTGTACTAATATTTGAATAATCAAAGTTTATATTAAATTTGAAGACTGTAAGTACCTTATTCAGTAGCGTATCCGTGCTTGTTAACTGTTCTACAATGTATTATATTTTTAGCTCTAATTATCTGAGAAAATGTAATCTGTCCTGATGAGTGCTTTGTAAATATATTACAGTTTTCAATACACCTCTACCCCGATATAACGCGACCCGATATAACACGAATTCGGATATAATGCAGTAAAGCAGCGCTCCAGGGGGGAGGGGTTGCGTGCTCCGGCGGATCAAAGCAAGTTTGATGTAACGCGGTTTCACCTATAACATGGTAAGATTTTTTGGCTCCCAAGGACAGCGTTATATTGGGGTAGAGGTGTATATCAGTCCTTTTGTAGGATTCCCTCCTCAAGTGCAAGATATACTCTTAGAACTCATGGTCGGTAACAGGTAAATGAAAAACATGTCAAAACTTGCTTGCAAAACGTAAAGAATTATTTAAAATTTTGAGAAGTGTGACAGTTGTGTTGTATGTTGCAAAACAAATTATTACAGCTGATCAAAAATGAAAAGCTAGCTTTGTGAAAACTTCCAAGTTTTGTTTTGAAAAGTTCAAAATAGACTTTTTCAAAAACATTTCCTGACTGTTTTTCAATATTTTTTCAAAAATTTTATTGAATATATGATTGAACACCTTCTCTAAATTATCAAAAGCTCTAGCAACAGTTGCAATGATTTGATAAACTTTGTAAAATTTTAAAAACATGAAATATTTTACACACACATTTCAGCAATTTCACCAAAAAAAGTAAGTGTGTGTGTGTGTGTGTGTGTGTGTGTGTGTGTGTGTGTGTGTGTAAAAAGGCCTTTCTCTGTGAAAAACTGTTAGGAAAATTTTGACCAGCTGTACCACTTTCCTTTCTGTGGCAATATAGGTACTGGGTTTCTCCTGCTCACATGTTCTGACAGGCAGGATAACCACCAGTCCCAGATGTCTGTACCCTGTAATGCTCCCTCACCTCATTCAGTTTATCTCCTGGGGCTTCAGTTGTTACTCCTGCAGGAATTCTGTACCACATGTAATTTTTTTTCCCTGCAGAAAATAAACTTCTTCTGGAAAGTTGCTGCAGTTCTGACTTTTGCCCACAAGGGGCCACTGTGGCACTAGCACAGAGCAGCCAATCCCCTGCCAGCCCCAGCACCCAAAGGGAAGAGAAAGAGCCTGCCTTCTTCACAGCACTGGTGGGGCCACATCGGGAGACAGGGAATATGGAGAGACAGACAGTGTGGACACATGGGGCTGCTGGGGGGTCAAAGATGGGTTCATTAGGGCTAGTGTGGGAGGACAGACTGGGGCAGGGACTGTACGGGAGTGGAGGTGCAGGAATACGTGGGAATGGGGGGGTGTAGGGACACATGGGAGAAGGGGGTTGGCTGAGTGGGGGCACAGACACATGGGGAGGGGACTAGCTGAGGAGTGCAGGGACACAGGGGGACAGGGGCAGATGTGTCTGACTGAATGGGAGATGCTAAAGGTAAGCCAGGGTCTGCATGGGGGAGGCTCCCTAACAATCCCTCTCTGCCCCCCCCAAAAAAAACCCTGTTCTATACTTTTCCCACCCATACCCAGCAACCCTCCAAGTTCACATCCAGACTCTTTCCCAGCAATTACTTCCCTCTCCCTCAACTCCTCTGTTACCCCCGACTCCCTCAAGCGTTTACACTGCTTCTGAGGGGTGCAGGAAATATGGTTCTGTATTGTCGTTTAAATGAATTATTACTTAGAGTTCTGTATTAGTATGCCTAGTAAGGAATCTATTCATCAAAAAATTTCCTGAATCTTTTTTGTCTGTTGTTATAGACATCCTTGCTGATGGGTACTTTGAAATAAATTACCAAAATAATTGAAACTGCTGTGATTATATTGCGTTGTTTTGGTAAATAAAATTTGCAGATTTTTAAAATATTGTGTGCAGAATTTTTTATTTTATGGTGCAGAATTCCCCCAGGAGTAAATTTTCATGGCTGCAAAAGTGTACCTCAGCAAATGACTCCTCCTTTCTCAGAGACCCTGCTCATGAGTCCTGTCTCTGAGGGTTAAAGGAAACCTTTCCTTCCCTCCTGTGGCCCAGGGCTCAGAACTGGATGGCCATTGAAACCCCAGAGAGAGAGGGTTGTGCCAAAGGGTGAGACCTTTCTAAGAAGCAGCTTTGTGTTTGCAGCAGACAAGGCTCTGGGATCTGTAGTAATAAGCCCTTGAGAAGCTTTGTCAGCATATTTCTGGAAGGAAAGGCAAAGTTTTCCTGAAAAGATTTAACTGCTAGAAGGACTCATTAATCCACTTGAAGGGGTCAGGGGAGAAAAGGTGGGTTTGTCACTGAAAATCTTTGCCTCAACACAGAACTCTCTTCAGCATCCAAGGCAGACTGCTTTGGTGCCTAGATGTGTATTATCACTATTAGCCACGAGAATGCATTGTGTATTCTATTCTACTACACCCTTTAACACCATATACTTCCTTCAGCCCGGCTGGGGCTGGGGGCAGTGGGCAGAGGAGCCTACTTTGGGAAGGCTAGTCCTACCATTGCTGTTATCCACATGCAGTCCTTGTGCTCAGGTCATCTAGGGCTGGATAACTACTAGCTCTGTGCAGGGGCATGAGGAGATGAAGCTACTCTGGTTCTCTCACACACTCAGTTCTCTCCCATAGTGAGTGAGTAAGAAACCAATAAAGGAGGAACATCTGCCATTCAGAATGCTCCCACTCAATGCTGACTTTTCATGGAGATAATAATAAATGAGAATAATCAAGTGGTTGCTCCCCTTTAACTCGGGAAAGATTATTTTAGAAACAGGACAGTGGTTGGGGATGGAATGAGAAATATATGTGCTTAATTAAACAAAAGTTACTGTTTTGTTAGAAAATTCTGTGTACTCAGAACTAATAGTGCTCCTTAGGGGATTTGAATTTATAAGTCCTTCACTCACATTTTCAGTTGCAATATTTTCCATTCCTATTTCTTCACCATAATAAGTTGTAGGTGTCCCAGGAAGAGTTAAAAGGAGCATATTTATGACATTAGTGTATTCTTTTCCAATCCGAGACGTAATTCGAGCAGTGCTAGGGTCTCCAACCTAAACAAAAATAATTTCTTATATCAAAATACAAGAATAAAGGTCCATACTAGAACTAAATACATCCATATGACATTGGTCTAATACAGTGGTTCCCAAAGTGGGGTTCGCGAACCCCTGGGGGTTCGCAGAACGTTACAGGGGGTTCGCAAGAAAAAATTCAGTAATGGCGGCCAGAGGACCCCGGCATTGGAGGCAGCAGGTGGGACCTGGTTGCAGGGCAGACAACCAGAGCCCTAGGGAGAGCAGGGCCGTGCAGTTGGGGCTGGCAGCCCAAGCCCTGCCCCCGTCAGCGGGGGAGCCGGCAGCCCCGAGCCCCAGCGCTCCGTCGGGGCTGGCAGCCCCGAGCCCCTTGAGATGGGGCCGAGCAGTTGGGGCCAGAAGCCCAAGCCCTGCCCCCGTCAGCGGGGGAGCCGGCAGCTCGAGCCCCAGCGCTCCGGCGGGGATGGCAACCCCGAGCCCCTTGAGAGCGGGGCTGGGCAGTTGGGGCCGGCAGCCCGAGCCCTGCCCCTGTCAGCGGGGCAGCTGGCAGCCTGAGCCCCAGCGCTCCGGTGAGGCTGGCAGCCCCGAGTCCAAGGGAGAGCGGGGCCGGGCACTTGGGGCTGGCAGCCCGAGCCCTGCCCCTGTCAGCAGGGCAGCTGGCAGCCCCGAGCCCCTTGAGAGCGGGGCCGGGCAATTGGGGCCGGCAGCCCAAGCCCTGCCCCCGTCAGCGGGGG